CTCCAACTGGTATTCTTAGCAGATAATGGTGTTGCAGACCATAGCTCTACTTGATGCAACTCAGTACTGGCTCTAGTCCTTCTTTTCAATGTGAGCATTTGGGCTTGGCGTGATAGCCTAGTGGCCAAATAATCGCCTTGCATGCACTGGGATCCCATATGGTTGCTGGATGCACCCACATGGGAGACCCGGAAGAAGCTCCTGGCTTCACCCTGGCATCGTATCAGCTCAGCTCTGGCCATTACAGCTACTTGGGGAGTGAACCAGCAGGATGGGAGATCTTTCTGTCTGCCTCCTCTTTGTATTTCTGCCTTTCCAATCGAAAAACAAGTACACATTTCCACCCCCCAAAAAAAGAGTAAACAATAAATTTCCCTCTTAGCATGCTTCTGTTGGTATCTCCCATTGTGTTTTCATTTGTCAGGTATTTATACATAACAGTTAACAGTGTGAGGGATTGTTGTGATATCTTAAAATGCTGTTTCTAGTATTTTTTTTTAAAGATTTATGTTTTTTTTTTATTACAAAGTCAGATATACAGAGAGGAGGAGAGACAGAGAGGAAGATCTTCCGTCCGATGATTCACTCCCAAGTGACTGCAATGGCAGGTGCTGTGCCGATCTGAAGCCAGGAACCAGGAACCTCCTCCAGGTCTCCCACATGAGTGCAGGGTCCCAAAGCTTTGGGCCATCCTTGACTGCTTTCCCAGGCCACAATCAGGGAGCTGGATGGGAAGTGGAGCAGCCAGAATTAGAACCGGCTTCCATATGGGATGCCGGCGTGTTCAAGGCGAGGACTTTAGCTGCTAGGCCATGCCGCCAGGCCCTGTTTCTAGTATTTTTACATGTTTCTATATTGAGACTGCTTGCCTGGCATTAGAGATTACAGATTTTAGTTTTAGTGACTGCATTTTTCCCTCCTTATGTGTCCAGGTATTTCAGGTATTTTTTTTTTTTTTTAGGTTTCCTAGTTGTTTTTTCTTTTTTTTTTTTTTAATTATGCTTAGTCTGCTTTTTTGTAATCATGTTTTGATTTTGCTTTTTTTTTTTTTAAGATTTATTTATTTATTGGAAAGTCAGATATATAGAGAGGATGAGAGACAAAGGGGAAGATCTTCCGTCCGATGATTCACTCCCCAAGTGACTGCAATGGCTGATGCTATGCCAAACCAAAGCCAGGATTCAGGAACTTCTTCCGGGTATCCCACATGGGTGCAGAGTCCCAAGGCTTTGGGCTATCCTCAACTGCTTTCCCAGGCCACCAATAGGGAGCTGGATGGGAAGTGGAGCTGCTGGGATTAGAACCGGCACCCATATGGGATCCCAGCATGTTCAAGGTGAGAACTTTAGCTGCTAGGCCACGCTGCCGGGCCCTTGATTTTGCTTCTGATTCCTTCTTTTACATCTTTGTTTTAAACATACTGTTCTTGGGCTCAGCATGATAGTAGTGGCTAAAGTCCTTGCCTTGCAAGCACCGGAATCCCATATGGGCACCATTTCCAATTCTGGAGGCCCTGGTTCCCATCCAGCTCCCTGCTTGTGGCTTGGGAAGGCAGTTAAGGATGGCACAAAGCCTTGTGACCCTGCACCCACATGGGAGACCCTGAAGAGGCTCTGGGCTCCTGGCTTTCAATTAGAGCAGCTCCAGCTATTGCAGTCACTTGGGGAGTAAATCATCAGACGGAATTCCGATCTTTCTCTCCGTCTCTCCTCCTCTCTGAACATCTGACTTTCCTATAAAAGTAAAGTAAATCTTTAGGAAGATCACATACTGTTCTTATTTTATAATAGTTCTGTACTCTTGGTCTGTAACCCTTGTAATGTATTCTCTGCTAACACCATGCAAAACTGCTTCATTGTGTTTTATAATTCTAGGTTGTGAAATAATATTCATTGAGGTTTTAATTATGGGACTCTCATGAGGCCTGGGCTAAGAATTTCAGCTCTTGTATATTTTTCTGTGTGATGGCAAGCACATGTGTTTCAAATGGTCAAAGGAAAAACAGCTCATAGACTTTTCAAGCTAGAAGACAATTCTGTGAAATCAAGTTCACTAGTGACTCCCAAGTTCTAAGACAAGATGACACACACAAAGAACCCCACATCTGTTTATTGAACTGAATGGATTGTCTTGCTTCATTGGCAGGTAGATTAGTTTGATTGATTTGTTTCATTGAGGAAGTCATGAGGGACTGTTGCAGTTCCTTCTGTCAGTAATGACTGCCTATTCCAGTAGCATAACTTTGGTTCTATAATATGTCGAAAGATAGTTCTGTTCCTCTTATAATAAGTGCTTCTTTCTGGGCCTATTTTTGTTTCAGAGGCTTCTCATTAGTTTTCTGCTCTCTGAGCAACCTTCAATTATTTTCCTAATAATCCTGAAACATTTGTGCTTTGGATATTGGAAAAGCTTAGTTTTTAAATTACAAAGGTCACATTTAGCTTTGAAGGTCAAAAAAACTCAAGAAAATGATGTACTTTATATACTTTAGTGATGAAAATGAACAACCATCAGACATAAAATAAAAGAAAAAAAGGGAGGGGGAGGTGTTTGGGGAGCTGGTGTTGCGCCATGGCTAGTTAGGCTGCCACTTGAAACACCAGCATCCCATTTGAGCCCTGGTTCAAGTCCCAGCTGCTCCACTTCTAGTCCAGCTTCCCAGAGCTGAGCCCATTCAAAACTAGGAGCCAAGAGCTTCTTCTGGGTCTCCCGCAACAGTTCAGGGTCCCAAAACCTTGGGTCAGCCTCCACTGCTTTTCCAGGGCATAAGCATGAAACTGGATCAAAAATGGAGCAGCCAGGACCAGAACTGGTATCCAAATGGGATGCCATTGCATGCTGCAAGGTATAGGATTAGCCTGTTGAGCCACCACGCTTGCCCCTCTAGTTTCTTTTAAAGAAAGATTTTGGAGCTGGTGTTGTAGATTATTGGATTAAGCTGCTGTTTACAATAGACGCATCCCATATGGTAGTGCTAGTTTGGGTCTTGGCTACTCTGCTTCCAATCCAGCTTCCTGTTAGCGTGCCTAGGAAAACTGGGTTCCCGACATCTGTGTGGAGACTAGCCTGGAGTCCTAGGCTGCAGGGTCATCCTGGGCCAGACCAGGCTTATTGTTGCAAGTACATACATGGAAAAGATGTCCTTCACCACGACCCAAATACACTGATTGCCCATAAACATGAACACACTCTGCAGTTGAGTGCCATCTCAGTTGCTCAGTTGCCCTCAGCACTGAGGAAAGGTATATAAAGAGGTGGATTCACATCCCAGACACACTGGTATGTACTTCACTCATGTGCAAGACATTCTTTTCTGCAGAAATCTGCCAATGATCTAGCCTACCAGTTCTTTGTACATGGAATATCTGCATATTTCAAGTAACAGAAGCTGTACTTTTAGTCTAATTATAGTACTACAATATAAGTCATTCATTCTTAAGTGTGACAAGACTTTGGAGTTATAAAATTTTTCAAGTCAAAATCCAGACAGATTTGCATTCTAGCTTTAACATTTAAAACACTCTGAGCTCGTGCGAAGCGCGATAGCATAGTGACTAAAGTCCTCGTCTTGAATGCGCTGGGTTCCCATATGGGTGGTGGTTCTAATCCTGGCAATTCTGCTTCCCATCCAGTTCCCTGCTTGTGACCTGGGAAAGCAGCAGAGGATAGCCCAAAGCCTTGGAACTCTGCGCCAGTGTGGGAGACCTGGAGGAGGCTCCTGGCTCCTAGCTTTGGATGGCTCAGCTCCAGCCATTGGAGCCTTTCTGTCTATCTGCCTTTCCAATAAATATAAATATTTTTTAAAAATCTGAGTTCTGGGCCCAGCGCAATGGTGCAGTGGAAATATAGAAAGAGAAGTATCACTACAAATGGCTTACGGGACAGATTCAATAACCTTATGTATCTGGAGCCTGTGATTATAAAATCTTAAAGATACTTTCATGGAGGGCGGTTTGAAATTATATCTGAAAGATTGGAGTCAATTTTACATTTTTCAGAGTTGCTGGCTCACCCTGTATAGCCTATTCAATTTTCTTTTTAATTTTTTTTGTCACTTAAAATTTTTTTTAACTGTTCCTGTGTGGAAGTACTATGTCAAGCATTTTGTTTTATTTATTTTTTCTTTTTTAAAAAAGATTTATTCATTTTTATTGCAAAGTCAGAAATACAAAGAGAAGGAGACACAAAGAGAAAGATCTTCTGTCTGATGATTCATTCCCCAAGTACTGATCCGAAGCCGGGAGCCAGGAGCTCTTCCGAGTCTCCCATGTGGTTGCAGGGTCCCAAGGCTTTGGGCCAACCTCGGCTGCTTTCGCAAGTCACAAGCAGGGAGCTGGATGGGAAGTGGGGCTGCTGGGAATGGAACTAGTGCCCATATGGGATCCTGGCACATTCAAGGCAAGGACTAACTGCTAGGCCACCATGCCGGGCCCCCCAAGAGCTTCTTTTCTTTTCTTTTTTTTTTTTTTAAGATTTATTTATTTTCATTACGAAGTCAGATATACAGAGAGGAGAGACAGAGAGGAAGATCTTCCATCCAATGATTCACTCCCCATGTGGTCGCAACGGCTGGTACTGTGCCGTTCCGAAGCCGGGAACCTGGAACCTCCTTCAGGTCTCCCACGCAGGTGCAGGGTCCCAAATCATTGGGCCATCCTCGACTGCCTTTCCAGGCGACAAGCAGGGAGCTGGATGGGAAGTGGAGCTCCCGGAATTAGAATCGGTGCCCATATGGGATCCCAGCGCATTCAAGGAGAGGACTTTAGCCGCTAGGCCATGCCACCAGGTCCAAGAGCTTATTTCCAAAGAGATATCTATTTTGTCTTTACGATCGTATGGAACAACTGTGAGTGTTTATGGTTGATGTTGAAGAGTATGTACTGAGCACTTGATTTTTGAGGTACTTGATGCTATTGTCAAAGACATGTATAATAAAAAGGAGGGTGAAAATGGGTGTCTATGACATAATAATGACTAAATGCTGCTTCTTTGTTTTTCAGTTCCTGTGCCTAGCAGATACAACAGACGAGTATCAGGTATGGATTCTCTTTTAGAAGATACTGATATGTTATCTTATGATAAGAATATTGTAAATGAACCTGATCTAAATAAAAAGATAAAGTAACATCATTACAACATATTATGCTAAAAAATAAAATTACTTGTAGTCCTTCTAAGTTCTGTATATGTAAACAGGAGTTTGATTATATTTTATATTGTTTTAATTAGTGAATATCCTTGCATTGTGTCATTAGCATTTTGCCCTGTTTATAATAATAACTCTTAAAAATGTTTTTTATACTACTGCTTCTGGAATTCTGGATCATGCTGTCCTTAACTTCTCTTATGTACTTTTTTTTTTTGAGCCATCTGAATTATTTCCTCAGTTGCAGAAGTGAAAGTGGCATTCATGGGCCATCACAGAGGCTAAGTACAGATTAAGTCTCCATGGAGAAAGGCACCCTTCACAGGCCTTTTTATTCATCTTGGTTATATGGAATTAAAATTTGCTCATTTTATTTGAAAGGCAGAGAGGCAGAAATTAACAGAAGAGAACTAATTTCCCAAACACCTGCAGCAGTTAGGACTGGGCCAGGCTACAGCCATAAGCCTCTGAGAACCCATTCTGAGTCTCCCAGGTGAATGGCAAAGATCCAGGTACTTTAACTTTCTCCTAGGGTGTGCATTAATAGGAAGCTAGAGTTGAGAGCAAAGCTAGAACTTGAATACAGACACTCTGATATGATATGCAGGCATCCCAAGCAGTATTTTATCCATCTTGCTGAACACCGGCCCTTAATGCTACATAATTTGAACATAAAACAGTTCCTAAGATAATTGGGACTTGGGCAGACCAAGGCTGGGCAAGGCTACAAAATCCATTAGCCTGCGTGTGAGCTGGATTGGGGGAGAGCCACGCTGAGCTAAGTGACCATATGCAGTGGTGCATGCATGAGCCAGGCTAAGTGCAAGCTGGTTGGGCATTGCCATAGCATCAGCTAGCAGGTGCTGGGACTGGGGGCAAGTGATGTCAGGCTAGATCACAGAACCATCTGGAAAGTTCAAGATCAGGGGCTGGGAGTGGGCCTAATAGAGAAATTGTGGGCACCCCTTTGATGGGCTGCAGTTCCCACTGGTGAGCCATGCCAAACTGCCTCAGAACCCATCAGCACACTCAAGACCTGGAGGAGGGATCTTGTGAGCCTGGTAAGGGCGGTGTAGAGGGCGCCCCTGCTAGGCCACTGCTCCCACTGGAGAGCGTGAGAATTGAAATTACGAGCAGACTAGGCCAGATTGGGCTACCACACCTGTTGGACTGCATGTGAACTGGGTTAGGGTGAGAGCCAGGCTGGGCTAATAGACTGTACCACTGGTGTCTGCATAGGCCAGAGTAAGAGTAGGCTGGTTGGGCTTTGCCAAAGCATCAGCTGGCAAGTGCTCGGAGTGGAGACAAACCCTGTCAAGCTAGGCAGCAGAACCACCTGGAGAGTACAAGTTCTCTGACTGAGAGTGGACCCAGTAGGGAGACAGATATCTCTCTAATGGGCTGTGACTTCCACTGGTGAGCATGGGAACCAGGTTTGGGGGTGAGCCTGGTAGACAGGAAGTGGCACTCACCAGCATGAGGCAGGCTGGAGATAGGTCAGTTTGGTTGAGCTAGACTTTAGTGCCAATGACTTACTTGTACGAGAGCTGAATGGGATCTGGGACAGAGTAGAACAATCTGCTGCACATACTGGCAAGCAGAGCAACCAGGGCTGGGGGTAGGCCTAGTGGAGATTATTGGGGATTACTTAGACTAGGCTGCAGCTCATGCTGGTGTGGGTGAGGGCTGGTGTATGTGGTGAGCAGGGTTGGGCTGGGCTGCAACATCCATTGGCTTATGTAAGAGATGGGGCTAGAGACAGAACTGACCCAGCAGTTGCAACTACCATTATGTGCATAAGCTGCTATGGGTGACAGACAGAGCCAGACCTTGTGCTGGCAAGCACACACAAGAATCAGGTCTGAGATCACTTCAGATGAAATTTCTTTGAGGTCCCTGCAACTGAACTGCTGGATTCAGAGCTCCAACAATGGGGAGAATTGCAGGATCTGTGGTCTGAGTGTGGAGTGCATGTGTCAGAACTGGGCCTCCTTAGTGACATAGATGGCATACCCAAATGTACATGGAGGATATAGATATGTCAGTACATTGGGGCCTGCAGAAGACATCTGGTACCATGCCAGAGGAAGGAGGGTACAACAAGTTTGTCAGCTATCCCAGCCAAGTATTGACAGCAAATATCTTGGCGAATGGAGACGCTAAGGTGGATTGTGTTAGCCAAAGGAACTTGGAAGGATTTCCATCCTTGGATAGGCCACATCGATAGCATTTCAGAACTATTGAAACCATTTGAGCAGAACCCTCGAAACATCCTCCACATTGGGGACCTTGGGATGACATTAGGTGGCCATTCTCCATCCCTGGGTGCTGGGGCAGTTGGGAGACTGGGTGTGGCGGCTTCCCTTATCTCCTATCTTCCCTGGATACAGGAAGAAGAAAAAGAAAATTTGGAAATGATAGTCTCACTAGCTTTTCGCTAATCCTTGGCCTGTCCCACCATAACCAGCTATGTAAACATGATCAGAAATAAAATAAAAATAATAATTTCTCTAGGAAAAAAAAAGAATTGTGTTCACGTTCTGTTTTTGCTAAAGCCATGTGTTTGCTAAGTTCATCTTGGTTTTTTTTTCTCTTTCATTGTAGTCTGTGCTGAGGCCTATAACCCTGATGAAGAGGAAGAAGATACTGATCCCAGGGTAAGAATTAGAATGAAGATGGTAGGTAGAATTGTTACATTTCTCACTGACTCTCCTGCTCTGCAGTCTAATCCTACTGGTAATTACATAAAAATTATAATTGCAACAAGATGCTGTTTTTTTAAATCTAACAGATTGAAAGGAACCTGGTTTAAAGTATGGTCAAAAGGGATGCTTCACTGTAGCCATCAGAAGGCTAAAAACATAATTCCACTAGACTCAGCAGTTGCCCCAGAGAGAATTTCTTCCTAACAGATAGCCGCATCCTCCCCATGGACGTACAGGTGGAGATGCTCGTAGTGTTTGAATACCCAATGAAGGAAGCAGCTTGATTGCACCAAGTAGAGGGCATGAGAGACTCAGTTATGATGGCATATTTAAATTAAGTAAATCTGCAGCCATGGAAAGTCATCATGTGGGACTGAATTTAATGGCATGAAATGCATTTTCATCTGAGGTACATTTTATGGAGCACTTTATAAAATTAAAAATTTAAGGTATTTATATGTTTATTTTTATATTACAAAAAATTTTATTTGAAAGGATATGCGCTACATGTTAGCAATGGTTGTGGAAGAACTGTAGTTGATTAGGGGGTGCTTTTGTTTGAAAATAATATGTTTTTAAAACTTTTCAGCAATTAACAAGTTAATTTTTATATGAAAGATAATATAAATTGAAATTAAGATTTCCGTTACACTGTAATCTGTTGCATATACCTTAAAATGAGTAGTCTAAAAAAATTTCCAATAATTCTAATAATTATTTGCTGCCATTTGTGCTTATAACTAATGCAGGCATTTAAATATTTCTTTATTCTGGATATTTAATGATTCCTGATGACTTTTAAAACTTAGAACAGCCTTTTCCTGAATTAATATCATAAATTTAAACTACTTAACAATTTTGGCTTATGTTATTTCTGATCAAATGGTATGCCTTTTCTGAGGGAAGATATACTTCAGAAGGATCTTGATAAGTCTGAATTACAGCATCAGCATTGAACAATCGTATTGTTTGTTTAATAAGCACCTATAACACTACTTAGAGTAGACATAAGTTTTGAGGTAGTCTTTTTTTTTTTTAAAGATTTATTTATTTTTATTACAAAGTCAGATATACAGAGAGGAGAAGAGACAGAGAAGATTTCTGTCCGATGATTCACTCCCCCAGTGAGCTCAACGGCCTGTGCTATGCCGATCTGGAGCCAGAGCCAGGAACTTCTTCCAGGTCTCCCACGCGGGTGCAGGGTCCCAAGGCTTTGGGCTATCCGTGACAGCTTTCTCAGGCCACAATCAGGGAGCTGGATGGGAAGTGGAGCTACCGGGATTAGAACCGGTGCCCATGTGGGATCCCGGCGCATTCAAGGTGAGGAGTTTAGCCACCAGACCACTGCGCCAGGCCCAAGATAGTGTTTGAAACAGTATGTATTAACTTATTTAATCCTTACAAAAACTGTAACTTTAATATGCTACTGTTACTGCTCCTAATAATAGTGTTATTGATATTTGAAGTGTGGCTTTTTATACTTATTGCTTTCTTTTTTTTAATTTAAAAAAAAAATTTTTTTTCCATATTATTTCCTTCATGTTTAAAGTGGGGTATTAAGGGAGAAGGCCCACCCAATTTCCCACCTTCCCCAGGTCCCGGATGTAGGGTATGCTCCGAGGTTCTTGCTCAAGTGGTTTTGATATTTCAACAGTTATGAATTGCTGCCAGTCTTGCCACTCCAAGCATGATGAGGTCTTTGAAGAATCCACTGGTTGACATAGTCCATCATAGAGTCTCTGTTTGCCCCGTATTTCACTGCCAAGATATAGCTGAGACGGTTGGTTGACCTGTTCTGTCTTCTCTTTTCTTGGTTAGAGTTCTGAGTCTAGCATTTTGATTGGGGAGATCTCCAAAGAAACTTTGTCTGAGGTGTTCTCAAACCAGATTCTTGAATGTGTTAGCAAGAGCAGGGCCCGGCAGAGTCCATCACCCCGATCAGCTGGTAGTTGCAATTGCTGGGTTGGTTCTATTTTCACTCCCGACTACTTATTGCTTTCTTAACATCTATTTCCACTGAGGTGTCAGCAGATAACTCATACTTAACATAAACTCCTGATTATTTCTATTTAAATAAATATTGTTTCTGCCTAATGTTTCCCAGCTTAATTCATAACAATTCCATCATTCTGTTTGTTTGGGCCTAGAACTAAGGGTTCTCCTTCAACTCCGCTCATATTTTCATACCCACCTCCAATTTTTCAGTAAATCCTTTTAGTTCTGTCTTCAAAACATCCAGCATTTTGCTGCTTCTCACTACCTCCAAGGCTACCACCCTGCTTCAGACCACCACAGCTGGCACTGTGACACCTGCTGTTTATGTAGTTTCTGTTCTTTCCTGCAGTCTGATATTCACTTAGCAGTCAGTGTGATCCTTTAAACATCTTTTAGATCTTTATCTCATAGTCTTCAAGCTTCAAGTTGCTCCCTTTCGTTCTGCTACCTTCGAGTTATTTTTCACACATACATCATGCATGCCTCCAGCATACGCCTCATTTTCCCTTGCTGTTCCCTGACTGGGGAACTTTTGGCACAGAGATATCCACATAACTCATTTTCTCAAGTTGTATTCACTTGCTTGGAATGAGACCCTACCTGGCCATTCATATATACACTTTCCCTTACTTCTATATCAGCCTCGTCAGCTCTGTTTCTTAGCCTTATGACGAATGTATTTTATGTGTTTACTGACTTCGATGGTACATTTTTTTTCCCTGCGTGTTCCCAGAGTAAGGATAATGACTAGAACTAAATAGGTGGGCAGTATTTGTGAATGAGTATGTTTCAAGCCCTCTGCTGTGTAGATGAGGGCTCTCGGCCCCCAGGGAACAGCTGCCAGTGTAAGCCTCTGGATTTGGTGCCCTGCACTTCAGGATACTGGTTGGCATTTATACAGAAATAAAATCATAGAGAAAGAATTATGCTAGTGTTTTAAAGTATGTGATTTTTAAATGTAATTAATTCCCTGGTTTGTTTGGATTGATAGGTGATTCATCCTAAAACTGATGAACAGAGATGCAGACTTCAAGAATCTTGCAAGGATATTCTCCTTTTCAAAAATCTTGATCAGGTAATGTTGATCTCAAATTTCTTGTTGTTGTTGTTGTAATGGTCTTTTAGCTTTTCCTATTTGTCATTTAAATAATTTTAATGTCTTTACCACAACTATATGAGATATAAGACTTTATTTTAAAAGATTTATTTATTTGTTTGAAAAGCAGAGTTTCAAAGAGAGTTTTCACTCTGCAAATGATTGAAATGGTCAGGGCTGGACCTAGCTGAAGCCAGGAGTCTGGGACTTCATCTAGGTCTCCTACAGGGTGACAGGGTCTCTGAAACATGGGCCATTCTCTCTTGCTTTCCCAGACACATAAGCACAGAGCTGGATCAGAAGTGAGACAGCTGGGACTTGAACTGGCATTCATATGGGATAGTGACAATGCAGACAGTGGCTTTTTTTTTTTTTTTAAGATTTATTTTTATTGGAAAGTCAGATATACAGAGAGGAGGAGAGACAGAGAAGAAAATCTTCCGTCCGATGATTCACTCCCCAGGCGGCCGCAACAGCCGGTGCTGTGCCAATCTGAAGCCAGGATCCAGGAACCTCCTCCAGGTCTCCCACGTGGGTGCAGGGTCCCAATGCTCTGGGCTGTCCTCGACTGCTTTCTCAGGTCACAAGCAGAGAGCTGGATGGGAAGTGGAGCTGTGGGGATTAGAACCGGTGACTATATGGAATTCTGGTATGTTCAAGGCGAGGACAGGACCCGGCGGCGTGGCCTAGCAGCTGTAGTCCTCACCTTGAATGCATTGGGATCGCTTATGCAGCACTGATCATTTCGGTCACTTGGGGAGTGAATTATCAGACAGAAAATCTTCTTCTCTGTCTCTCCTTCTCTCTGTATATCTGACTTTGTAATAAAAATAAATAAATCTTTTTAAAAAAAAAGTGACACATAGAGATCTGTGTTTACTGATTTACTCCTCAAATGAATCAACCAGGTCTGGATCAATGTGAAACCAAAAGCCAGCAAGTACATACTGGTTTCCCATAAAGGTAGTACGAGCCCAAGCGCTTGTGCAGTCTGCTTCTTCTTTGCCAGGCATGCAGCAGGAAGCTGGCTTGAAGTGGAGTAGCTGAGACTCGCTGACACTCCGTGATATGGGATGCTGGCATCACATGAGGCCACTTAACCCATTCTGCCACAGTGCAGGCCCCTGTTACAGTCTCTTCAGATATAATGTAATGATCCTGGAATACAACACTGATAGGAAGGTGGGTTTACACATGACATATCAAGGTGGATAATAGTTATGTAGGTATGGCTGTGAGGATGGGGACCCTAACTTTGATAACTTTTACATATGTTGTCAAAAGTTTTTCAGAACAGTATCACCTTGCTAAATTGGCAGTTGTTCCAAGGTACTGAGGTACATGGATATACAGAGCTGAATAGTCCCTGGAAAGCATTTTAGACAGTACTTAAGTTTCTGCTTAAATGTGGGGAAGAGTCTGGTGTCGGAATTTTAGATATGAGTATGGTCATTGCTGTTTTCAGAAAGTACGAAAGCTGCCTTTTCTCTGCAGGAACAGCTTTCTCAAGTTCTTGATGCCATGTTTGAAAGGATAGTCCAAGTTGATGAACATGTCATTGACCAAGGAGATGATGGGGACAACTTTTATGTCATCGAAAGGTAGGAAATGAAAGTTTTGAACTATGAGGTCCTTCTTTAGTGAATTCATGATTGAGAGCAGACACTTTGCTCTCTGTTATGTTCAACCCTGGGAGGGTGAGGGCCAGGCGAACAAGCCCACCAGGTCCCTGTGGAAGTACACAGCTGTTTCTCTGTCTGCTGCCAGCCTCAGTCCTGAGTATATCCTATACGTGTGAGATGGGTGGGGACAATAATTACAGGAAGTCTCCTTTATGGTTTAGGAGAGGGATATAGAGGATGCATTGTTAACATGATATCTGCCAGCGTTCAAGTGATGCCGTTACCTCACTAGCTGTCGGGCACTATATTATCATCAATTTTGAATTCTAGCCTGATCTTACACACATGCATCCTGCCCGGACCTCCATTCCTCTGCCTCTTCTGTCTCTGTTCTAAAGATAAGCCTCATTAGTGCAAATAACATACTTGAGTTTGTCCTGCTCATCTTACTGAATCTTAATTGTATCTGATGCCAGTGTTTGTAGGTAGAGGAGTGACCTGTTGAACCACAACACTGCCCTAAACATGTTTTCTTTTTGTAACGAGAATGTTCAGCAAACTGAGACTAGGAGGAACTTCCCCAAATTTTTCTAAAGATAATTATACAAAGCCTACAGCTAACCTCATTTTTAATGAGGAAAGATTGAATTTCCTCCTTTAAGAGTGAAAATAAGAAAAAAGTCTGATTTTATCACTTCTAGGCAGTAATAGACTGGAGGACCCAGCCAGCATGGCAAAGCAAACAAAAGAAGGAAGGGAAGAGATGACAGATGGGGCGGGAAGTAGGGAAGACGGACTGAAGATACAGATTAGTAGGAGCCAAGTGAAGCTGTCTTGATTCATCAGTGATATGGTCCTCTGTGTAAACAACCCAAAGAATGCTACAAAAACTTCTAGAACCAGTGGGTTTTTATCAAGGACACAAGATATATAGACAAATGTGAAACTGCTACATTTCTGTAGTCTAGCACAATTCTGTTGGAAATCTCCTGTAACATTTTATAAGAACCTGATAATCATTAAATTTGTTGTCAAGCGTAATTACTGACATTGTTTCTTCTAGGGGCACCTATGACATTTTGGTAACAAGAGATAATCAGACACGCTCTGTTGGTCAGTATGACAATCGAGGGAGTTTTGGAGAACTGGCTCTGATGTATAACACCCCAAGAGCTGCTACCATTGTCGCTACTTCTGAAGGCTCCCTTTGGGGACTGGTGAGTGAGAGAAATGATTCTCCTTATAGGACACAATATTAATTTCCCTTATTTCTAAATTTTTTTGACCTTGATCTGTTAATATGGCATTTTCTAGCCATTTATTTGAGAGATATTGTGAAAAGTCTTATACAAATGTGTTTTTTCCATGCTATAGAATGATTTGTCAGTAAACTAAGTTGCACAGGAAAGACTTCTTTTTGTTGTTGTTTTTAAAGATTTACTTAGTTTTATTGGGAAGTCAGATTTACACAGAGGAGAGACAGAGAGAAAGATCTTCCAGACGCTGATTCATTCCCCATGTGGCCGCAGTGGCCAGAGTTGAGCTAATCCAAAGCCGGGAGCCAGGAGTTTCCTCTGCACTCCCACATGGATGCAGGATCACAAGGCTTTGGACTGTGCTTGACTGCTTTCCCAGGCCACAAGAGAGAGCTGCATGGAAAGTGGAATAGCTGGCATATGACCTGGTGCAGAGACAAGGCAAGGTCTTTAGCCACTAGGCTACCACACTGGGTCCAGGGAAGGCTTATTATTTTTTTTTTAAGATTTATTTTATGCTGCGCTGATCCGAAGCCAGGAGCCAGGAACCTTCTCCATGTCTCCCACACGAGTGTAAGGTTCCAAGGCTTTGGGCCATCCATGACTCCTGGCTTCAGCTCAGCCCTGTGGCAGCCATTGTGGGCATTTAGGAACTGAACCAGTGGATGAAATATGCTGTCTGTCCTCAGTAGGAAAACAAATTAAAGAAGGACTTACTATAAGAATAGCAAAGGGAATAGGCAAAGACATTTAGAGAGCAAGGCAAAGCACTGCAGATAATGAATGGGTCAGCCTACCAAAAAGATGTGGCAACTGTAGACACACACACTCTGAATAACACTTTCCAAAATGCAAAACAAACAGACATCTGCAGTTACAGAGGATGCAGATTCAGACTTCAACAACCATCTGTTAACAGTTGCTAGAACTACCAGACAGAAAATTTGCAAAGATACAGAAGAACTTAGCACCATGAACCAAGAGAATCTAATTGGATTTTCCAGTACACTGCACACAACAATAAAATACATGTTCTTTTCAATTCCCTGGAACATTTACCAAAATAGATCATATCATGCAATGTGAATTAAAATAACACATTATCTAGCCATAATGGCTGTTGGATCTTTTTTGTCTTCTCATTAATGTATATCCTACCCTTTCTTCACAATCCAAATTTATATTTCTACCTCAAAATCACCTTCAAAAATTACTCCTGCCTATCATGGTTTCCCTCCCATCTCAAAATTCTTGTGACACTTGCCTGCTATAGTTTCACCTACCATGTTTCATATGCTGCCTTGACTATTCCTGTATATTTTGTATTGTATGGTAAGCTCCTTCTTGCACAGGAATTATAGGATATGTTTCTTGCTTTTTGGGAAGGCTGTCTTTGAAACAATGGCTGAGCTCACAAGTGTTGGGAATTCTTTGTTTTGCGTTCTGTATGTGGCCCACAGGTGGCACCAGTTGAACACTAGAAGCAGCGTGTGGGGCATCTGCCTGGTTCTGGCTATAGATCTTTTTCTTCCAGTGACTACTCTAAAATTGAGGTATCATTAAGCACCCAGTTGGCACAGTAACTTGTGTAATTCTCTAGTAGTTGCTGTGGCCCAGTCAGATAAACCATGGACATTGTTTTACGTAACCATTTACTAGAATTTTTGTATTTTTTTCTTTATAGGACCGGGTGACTTTTAGAAGAATCATAGTGAAAAATAATGCAAAGAAGAGGAAGATGTTTGAATCATTTATCGAATCTGTGCCCCTCCTTAAGTCACTAGAGGTAAAATCAGTTTGAATAAAAGTCCATTTACAAGGGCAGAGCTATTTGTTGCTAAGCTTTCAAATCATACTATTCTAGCTCATTTTTGTACTGTATAGCTAGAGCAACTTTCAGTTAGGATCTTCTCCTTATAATCTTTTTTTCCATTGTTTCAGGTATCAGAACGAATGAAGATTGTTGATGTCATTGGGGAGAAAGTCTATAAGGATGGAGAGCGCATAATTACTCAGGTAAGCAGAGGCCCTGCCTGCTGCTTGCCCTCAAGTTATCCCCTGAAGATGTTGCGTCTCTTTGGTTTCCTAGATGTCTGTGAGTTCCCAACAGCGGGAGCTCCTGTTGGAGGTGCTAGGTCATCTCTTCCTGCAGAGTTCCTGCGAAGCCCACGATGGTCCATCTCATTGACCGATGCAGATCCCTTGCTTCCATTTGTTTTTTTGTTTGGTTTGTTTGGTTTTGTTTGGCTTCTTGTATTTATTATTTTTGGCTATCTTTTGACCCTATTAAAACCCAAAAATGATTCGAGAGTTGTATTCTACCTCTTTATATTTTTTTCTAATTTGTTTTGAAACAGAGAAAAAGGTAAGGGAAGCTCTTCCATCCACTGGTTTATTTCCCAGGTAGCCACAATGACCAGGCTGCAACCAGGAGCTGCTAGCATCCTCCAGGTCTTCCACATGGGTGGCAGGGACCCAAACATTTAGGCCATTTCTCAGACTGTTAGCATAGAGCTGGATAAGAGCAGCTTGGACTTGAGCCAGCTCCCAGATGGGATTCTGGCATCTCAAGTAGCATCCCAGGGATGTTAGCAGGGAGCTCAAATGGAAGTGGAGTATCTGGTATTCAAACTGGTGCACATGGGATGCCAGCGCTGCAGGTAAAGGCTAAATATATGCCATGACACTGGCCTCAGAAACTTTTTTTTAATAGATTTATTTTTTTTTATTGCAAAGTCAGATATACAGAGAGGAGGAAAAACAGAGAAAGTTCTTTCATCTGATGATTCACTCCCCAAGTGACCAAAACTGCTAGTACTGCGCCAATCTGAAACTGGGAGCCAGGAGCTCTTCCATGTCTCCCACATGGGTGCAGGGTCCCAAGGCTTTGGGCCATCCTCGACTGCTTTCCCAGGTCACAAGCAGGGAGCTGGATGGGAAGCAGGGCCGCCAGGATTAGAATTAGCGTTCATATGGGATCTGGTCGTGTTCAAGGCGAGGACTTTAGCCTCTAGGCCACCATGTCAGGCTCCCAGAAACTGTTTTATGTTGTTTGTTTTTGGACAACTTTGTTGCAAGATGTATGTATTTAGAATTTGTTTATTTGGAAAGTAGGATGACAGGGTGAGACAGAGAAAAAAGATTATCCATTTACTATTTTATTCCCTAAATGGCCATAAAAGCCAAGTCTGGGATAGGCCAAAGGCAGGAGCTGAAACTCCATTTGGATCTCCCACATGGGCTGCAGCAGCCCATCTTTTACTGCTTTCCTAAGTGTTTTAGCAAGAAGCTAGATCGGAAGCAAAGTTGCCATGACTCAAATTCGTGCTGCAGTGTGGGATGCCAACATTGCAATAGACAGCTTACTGTGCCATAATGCTGGCTCCATGCAGTTTACAATAAAATTATCAAATTTAAGTGTACCATTGGAAGAGCCTTGAAATCATTCTCACAATCATGTATATAACATTTCTGATACCCAACCAGTTCCCTCACTTACATTTGCACTTAGTACCTTCCCCCAACATCCTTTAATCCTTGGAACTACTAATCTGCTTTCTTCCATTGGAAATTCCTTTTCTGTAACTCCATATGAACAAAATATAATGCAGATCACAGTAGTTATAGGTAGCCTTCTGTATCTTGTTTCTTTGACAAATGTTTTTGAGATGTATCTCTGTTGTGTATAACAGGAGACTATTCCTTTTTGTTTGTTTCTTTTGCTAGATGATACAACATTTTGTGGGTGTACCATGATTTGTCTTCTCATTCACCTGTGGAATGATTTTTTTCTTCAGTTTTAAGCAAACATGAATTAAGCTACATTAATATATGCATGTATGTCAATATGTGGACATGTTTTTATTACTCTTGGGTACATATCTAGGAGTGGAATACTGAGTCCTATGGTAAATATTACAAATTTAGCTTCACAACAAGTGACTAAATTACTTTCAAAATGCTTGTACCATTTTGCATTCTCACTTGCAGTCTATGAGAATCCAGGAAAATCTGTATTAATTTTTTCTGGCATTAGTTTTTTATTTTAACTCAGAGTATTAAGTCATGGTGGATGTGAAGTAGTTATCACTGTGACTTCATGTCTAGTGAACCAGAACCCCTGGATCAACCAAGTGATATAAAATCAAAGCAAGGGTACCCAGTGTGATGACCTAGCAGCTGAAGTCCTCACCTTGGACACACCAGGATCCCATAGCGGTGCCAGTTGTAATCCGGCAGCTCCACTTCCCATCCAGCTCCCTGCTTGTGGCCTGGGAAAGCTGTCACGGACAGCCCAAAGCCTTGGGACCCTGCACCCATGTAGGAGACCCTGCACCTGTGTGGGAGACCTCCCAGTTTTGGATTGGCGCAGCACTGGCTGTTGTGTTCACCTGAGGAGTGTATCATCAGACGGAAGATCTTTGTCTCTCCTCCTCTCTCTCCTTCTCTTTCTTCTTCCTTTCCTTTTCCCCTACCTCTCCCAATCTGTCTGTCTCTAACTACATTTCAAGTAAATAATTATTTAGAAAAAATAATAGTGAAGGCCAGTGTTGTGACACATCAGGCTAATCCTCCACCTGCAGTGCCGATATCCTATTTGGTTCACAGTTTGAGTCCCAGCTGCTCCACTTCTCATTCAGTTCCTTGCCTGTGGCCTGGTAAAGCAGTGGAGGATGGCTCAAGTCCTTGTGACCCTGCAACTCTTTGGGAAACCTGGAAAGCTCCTGGCTCCTGATTCAGATCAGCTCAGTTCCAGCTGCTGAAGCCACTTGGAAGAGGGAACCAGCAGAAGGAAGGTCTCTCTCTGTCTCTCCTGTCTCTGTAATATCTACCTTTCAAATTATAATAAATTAAAAAATATATATGCTGTGTGTAATTGGCATCCTGGGAATGTTGGTGGAGATAAATATAAATGTTCTATTTTAAGAGGTGAAAGATAATGTCAGTTACAGTTGGGTCAGCATTCCCAACGACCAGGTTCCTCTCATTTTTTTTGTGAATTTGTTAGCCATTGATTTCTGTGTATATCAGAAAAATAAATACACATGAGAGCTGTTTCCTCTCTTTTTTTCAGGGTGAAAAGGCTGATAGCTTTTACATCATCGAGTCTGGCGAAGTGAGGATCTTGATTAAAAGCAAGGTGAGTTGATACATGATCCAGTGAGGATCACACACACAAAGTCATCGTTTCCTTTAAAGCATATGAAGTGAATTATTGTGCCTCACTAGCATCATTATTTGACATACATGACTGGCAAAGATCTCATATTTAAACCCATCTATGGATGGTGATTGAATGCATTTCTTCTGTCTTTGCTTTTGTTATATAATCATTGATGTGCAAAAATTTGAGATACAAAGCATATTAGAAAACCTATAATAGAAAATCAGGTAAATATGAATGGTCAATGTAAAGTTAGTTTCTTTTTCAGAGTGTTGCCATGGTAGAACTCTAGGGCAGTTACTGTTACAACCATTTGATCAATGAGAAGTCCAGGAAACAATTGACTTGCAAATGGGTGAAGTGAAACTTGCCTATAAATCCATTATCACCACATTTTCCTGTTTTTTTGTTTTTGTCTATAAGACAATTATATTTAACCATATATAACACAAACTCAACCTATGGTAAAACTTCTTGCAAAGTGGTATTTAGTAAAAAAATACTATTATCTATAACTGTAAGGTAACTTGATTCTTAATTAACAATGTTTTCTTACTAGTTTCTTACTGTGTTGTTTCGTTTGTGGTTTTCTGGACTAGTGAGATGTATATACATTTCTTGATGTTCACAGCATAGTGCTAGGTTTGTAGGACAGCGGCAGCATGAATTGTGGAGCTAATGTATGTGTGTGTGTGACAAGAGACTGAGCAGGCATGAATGTGTGTGCATTCCCCGAGAATGCCCCCAGAAGCTGAAAAGACAACACTGCCTCAGATGTAACAGCTCAACTTCTGAGCTAACTGGTCAGGTCAGGTCAAGTCAGGTCAGCTCAAAAGTATGGAGGCAAGGAAGAAGGAAGGGTTAAACCATGTAGGCTAATTTACCAATTTTGTTTACTTTTTTTTTTAATGAAAAAATTTTTTTAAGATTTTTTTTTTTTATTGGAAAGTCAGATATACAGAGAGGAGGAGAGACAGAAAGATTTTCCATCCGATGATTCACTCCCCAAGTGGTTGCAACAGCCAGAACTCAGATAATCAGAAGCCAGGAGCCAGGAGCTTCTTCGGGGTCTCCCACGGGGGTGCAGGGTCCCAAGGCTTTGGGCTGTCCTCAACTGCTTTCCCAGGCCACAAGCAGGGAGCTGGATGGGAAGCAGGGCTGCCGGGATTAGAACCGGCACCCATATGGGATCCCAGTGCGTGTAATGCGAAGACTTTAGCCAATAGGCCATGCCACCGGGCCCTTGTTTACTTTTAAAAAGAAAAAACAATCTTTCTGCTTATAAAATAAAGTGGTTCTTAGAGGGTGAAATTAATACTAATAAATTACAGGTAATTTTTTAAACTTAACCTATTTTTTAGCTTGACAAATTTGCTGCAAGTAGACATCAAATACAATGTAGTATATTTTTAAAAGTTTCATTACTTTTTTAATCATTTTTAAATTGAGAGGATTCCTACAGATAGTACTTACAAGGAAATTTTGTCATTACAAAGTATTGTCTAAGAAACATAGGGTCTCAGTAGTATATTTTAATACATAATTTACTTATTACTCAAGGGAAACATTGTCATTATTTAGAAAGAATTAGCAAAAGACCTTGTCTTTTCCACTGTGTCTCAGAAGTCAGTGTCTCCCAAAAGGAGAATATGCAAGAATACTTCAAAGAGTTCATAAAAAATGGAATTGAAAGGTAAGTTCATTTTCATGTAAAAAAGTTTTGAAATCCGTGGATAATTTTTTCATAAAATTCATTTTCTATGAACTTTTTGAAAGCCCATCATAGGATGATCCTCAGAAAATGGTCCTTACTTGAAAAATGGTAGGACATGGGTAGAGCCCCTGGTAAAAGCTAACTCCTGCAATTAAGCCAGACCACTAGAGTAGTCCATGGAGGTTTACATGATACGGCAAGTTTCTGCCCATTGCGTTCCTCAGTGGTTGCATTGAGTGTGCTGAGAAAGGAATGTGAGTAAGTGCAACTGGAGTTAGTCTGTCCTGTTCTCTGCCTACTGTAGACTAAATCAAGCAAGGATGGTGGGAACCAGGAAGTTGAGATTGCCCGCTGCCACAAGGGGCAGTACTTTGGAGAGCTGGCACTGGTCACCAACAAACCGAGAGCTGCTTCAGCGTATGCAGTTGGAGATGTCAAATGCTTAGGTAAGAAAAAGCCTTCAAATATTAATAACTTCTTTCTGCCATTCAGTGTATTTTTCTGTCAGTAAGCCTTGGCTTATTCCACCAGCTCTCTGGCACTTTTAATCCTGGAGAGTTTGTGGGCAAGCCAGATATGGGTGAATATATTCTTTTAGGGAACATTTCTGAGCATTACCTACAACCTGTGTGTAAGACAAGTGTATAGGTTTCAGGCCCTGGGAGAAGAGTAGTAATGGAGGGCAGGTTTGTAGGGCTGTGGGAGTACAATTGATACTTGGCTCTACAGAGTCTCAGAGATGACACTGTTCTGCTGTGTATGCATAGAAATAGCCCCTTTGCCATGTGACAAGTATCCCAAAGTATGATCCCTGTGGGGACATGTGGAAAGAAATTTGCATGAGGAAAATGACTTGAATTGTTAGTGTAGATAATTCATGCTCTCCCTCACCTCTTTTTAACAATGCAGTTATGGATGTGCAAGCATTTGAGAGGCTTCTAGGGCCCTGCATGGACATCATGAAGAGGAACATCTCACACTATGAGGAACAGCTGGTGAAGATATTTGGCTCCAGCATGGATCTAATCGACCCTGGGCAATAGATGTGCCACATGCTAGAGCCTTCTCAATGTGACACCAAAACCTTCCGGTCAGCCACAGAACACACACGGAAAACAGACATGACAGAACGGTTCCTGCTGTTACCACCTCCGCTGCCATTGCTGTGGCTATGGGCATTTAGAAAACTTGAAAAGTCAGTACTGAAGGATGGACAGAGGTTTGACCCACACCTCCATTTTGCTTCTGAAAGCCCATTGTTAGACCACTTTTAATGATTCCTCCAGCCCAGTTTTCTCATCTTTGGTTCAAAATGGCATGTCTCTCCAACAAGTTAAGTGCCTGATACAAAGTCCAAAGCATAAACAGTCTCCTTCCTCTCTTGCTGCTATTACTGCTGTAGGAAGTTATCACAACGTCTGCAGAGACCTGTTGTGTCTTTCTCAAGGGAGGAAATGCTGTAGCCTTCAATCTTTTCATTCGTCCTTTGAGAAAGTTGACCTTTGTTCACAGTTCCACCTTGGAAGTTTTGTGATGGAAGATGGCAGATGGGATAGAGGTTTGTGTTCCAGGCACACTGCACTGTCTGCTGACAGCTGCTCACAGGCTCAGCTGTCTCTAAACCCAGAAGGACAGCTTCCCAAAGCAGACGGATAGGTCCATGGGACCCATGTTGGAGCAGAAAAGTTTGGGTTCAGCATATTTTACAGGTAATAAAGAGTGAGGAAGGGTTTCTGGGTTAGGAGTTGTTTTCTAATGTGTTTTGTAGGTTTTTGTTTTGATTTGTTGTTTAACCTCTGTGCAGTTTGCATGAGTGATTTGCTGTCCATTTATAAAGAGCCAGGATCTAGAGGTGCCGTCACTTTGTCCAACCCAAATACTTTCCTGGGCAACTCCTGCCGTTTCGTGTTTCTAGTTGCTCCACCTGCTAACAGCAGTGTGTTGCAAGAGGCTGTGCTACACTGAGCCCTTTCCTTCTGCTCCAGGGTTACGGTATAGCTTCAGGAGCCTTCAGTTTGTAAATTTTTAAAGATCTTATTCAAATTAAAGAAAATTTTTCTCTATGGAATTCTCCTTAGACATACCCATTCTATGTGGTGTTTGTCAGTTGACCTAGACGTTCAACCTAAAGATGAATTCTGTAACTTTCAAAAATTGGCATCATTTGTAATTTCATAGAATTCAAGTTTTTTCTGATTAAGATGTTTAGATAGTTGGGATCCTAATTGTTAATCCCAGTAAAAGGTAACTTAGCCTATATCTAAGACCTTTTTAACCTTTTAATTATAACAGGTAGCATTTCTGATGGGTTGTGCTAATTAGTTGGTATGTTTCAGAGTGAATTTTTTTTCTTCTGAATCATTTGGAATCCTAGGAGCAGTATAAAATTTACATACAGCTATATTTAAATATAGCTAAATTTGTGTTAAATCAAGAGGCCCTTTCTAATATGATTTTCTGTTTCTTTTTAACTTGCATCACTCAATAAATCCCTGAGAAATTACATGCTGGAGCTTGGGTCATTCCTGTGTGGGTAATGATGGAGCCCAGTGAGCTGCCATTGTCTGTATACTGGGCTTTCAGCTTTTGCCAAGGATTCTGTGGCCAAGAGATTTCCAGAATGGATAGTCCACCACACCTTGGTAATTCTTCATTTTTTTTCCCTTGTACTCCACCCATGAAATGAAAGCAGAAAGACTCTTTAGAATGCCATAAGTAGCCTACATTGCAACTCTCAGAATCGTGAAAGATTGTAAAACTCCAAAACAGGCAGCTAGCACTGGGAAAGCCTGTGTGGTGATCCCACATTTTCCTAAGGTTCTTCTTTTCTATAGTGTTGCTTTGTTATCTGACAGATTCAGATTGCAAGTCTTCTACTCTGACAAGAACCACAGGTTTCTTACAGAGCATCAGGTGCATTGGACTTCAGGAGTGATGTCAAGGTTCAGTCCCAGACCCTATGAGCTGTTTGAACACTGAGCAGATGTTCCCTCCCCAGACCCTGATACCAGCATTAATTAGGGTTGGCATTAATTTGATGCCAGATGAATGGCATGCAAGCTGTACTGTAGGCTTCTAGGTGTGGGCCCTCTCATTGCCTGTTTTTACACATCCCAGTCTAGTCTTTCCCTTTGCAGGACCCTCCTTGATGCCCCCAATAGTGGTGATTTTTTCAGAGCAGCGTTTGTCAGGTTTAAGTCCTGCTCTAACTACTGATTAACATCTAGATCATCAGTCCAGACCTTTGGGTTCAAGACTGAGGAATAAAGACTTTAAAGGGACAAGTATGAGTAAAATAGGACAGCCATTACCACAGCACCAGAATCTGATAGTGTTCAGTTATCTTTGAGAATTAGGAATTAAAAGGGGCAGGCCAATTTCAGCGTAGGGCTGTGGTGTCCACATTGTACCAGGGAATCCTTGCACTGATAGTTGAGCCTCATAAGAAGGAACATATATTGGGAAGAAATGCCTCTAAGATCAACTGTTTTCATGTTCTCCTCCGTGGCTTAGGCCCTCAGGCCTCCTTTTCTGGCTTTGTTGATTTTTGGATGGCAAAGAAAATTCTTAAAAAGCCTGGAGGTCCAGTCTGCAGTGTTCTCCTTCCTTTTGGCCCCCAACTCATCCCATCCACTCTTGACTGACTTCTCAGAAGGTGTGGTTTCCATTTCTTGTCCTGGTAGTATCTGCATTTGTAATTGCTGTAGATGATCTCAGAGACTAGGATTGAGCCTTTCTCGGAGCAGCTTAATGAGCAGATTCAGCAGCAAAGTGGCAAGGACAGGCGATGCTCCTACTCGGATTTCCCAGGCTCTCTGCTCACAGCAGTGTGGTCAGTAAAAGGTGCTACTGGCACCCAGCAGCACCCTGGGCATGCAGCATTTCATGTTGTGTCACAGTATGCCAACCGTCCCCGCAGTGAGAAAAAGAAAATGCACAGTGAAGAAAAAAAAAGACCCATGAATGTCATCTTTTTATTTGTTTGTTTGTTTTTTCAGTTGGCTGAAGTTGGAATTTTTGTTCCTGACATGCACTTGTAAACCAATCTTGCCAAGATATAGGTTGTTCTGGTTTTTCACTACGGTTACCTCTTGTTCCTCCTGTCCTGACTGCTGACATTCTTCAATGATTCTAATGTCTGTTTTATGGGGAGCAGCCTTCTCATGGGTTTCCTTTTACACACTGCAGGGCTATCTTTATACTTTAAACAAACAAACAAACAAAAAAAGGACAAAAATTGTCACTAACCTCATGGGGGATTTGCAGAAAATCATTTAGCCCAATTGGAGCAAAGGGTAGATTTCTCATTGTTTTTTTTAAAGCTCATTGTAATTGTAATAAAAGGAATCAGAGTCACCATTATTGTGCTACCTCAGTGGTAAAAAAAAATGTTTTAAGGTCTTCTTTGGGACCTGAGTTTCACGCGTAGTGTTTAAAATGTGTTTCAGTTGGAATTATTTGTTAAATCATTGGGGTGAGTCTTATTTTAACCTGTTTTACACTTGTATTTTAATCTCAGAAGAACAAGTGATTAGAAAGTGATCAATTCTTGCTCTGTAGTATTAACTTACTATTAAAAGTCATTAAGAGTTAAAATCATTGTCGTAAACAAGGCTGGGTTTTTTAAAAGGAAACCGCAGGGCTCAGCTTCACTTTCAGTTAATAAAGGCTGACAAATCTTGTCTGAATTTCTCGTGTAGTCTTTGTCATGTGTTTATCCTCTACCTCATCGCACACATCTGTCAGATACACTATTGTGGTTGGGATATGAAATGTTAAAAGAAATCCTAGTAGTGTTCTCCAGCAAAGCAGTCAGTAGGTCATGTATGTGTGTGCGCGTGCGTGTGTGACAATGGAGGTGGCTCCCAGTGAGGTACCACACTGCCTGAATTCAGCTGCACCTCCTGGCCAACTTCATCTCTGCCCCTTATCCCGCATGGACAGCAGCCTCAGTCAGTCCTGTGATTCCTGGGAGCAAGCTGAACCCCAAATGTGTGTGTGTGTGTGTGTGTGTGTGTGTGTGTGAGAGAGAGAGAGAGAGACAAGAGGGTAAAACTGCCAGCTGTGGTGTTGGCTTCCCATATGGGTGTTAATTCAAGTCTGAACTGCTCCACTCCAATCTAGCTCCCTGCTAATGCACCTGGGAAAGCAGCCGCAGATGTTCCAAGTGCATGGGCCCCTACAACTATATTGGGGGACCGAGAAGCAGCTACTGTTTCCTGGCTTTGGGCTGGCCCGGTCTAGCCACTTGGCCATTTTGGAAGTGAACTAGCAGATGGAAGATCTGTCCCTTCCTCTCTAACTCTGCCTTTCAAATAAATAAATGCACAGATTCACTGTGAGGGATTGGCTCACATGATTATGGAGATGGGCAAATGCCAGGATCTGCAGAGTGAGTCAGCAAGCTGGGGATCCAGGAGAGCCTAAGGTTTAATTCCAGTCCAAGTTCAAAGGCCTGGGAACCAGATGGGCTAACATCTCAAAAAAATCTAAAGGCAGGAAATTTCAGAAGACAAAGTCCCAGTCCAAAGTTTCAGGCAGATGAATACCTTGTTGCTCAGGGAAGGACTAGCCCTTTTGTTTTATTCAGGTCTTCAACTGTTAGGGAGACATTCAGCCTCCTAATGTTTTATCCAGAAACAGAACAGTACCTGACCAGATATCTGGGTAACCTGTAGCCCAGTCAAAATGACATATACAATATTTTTCAAGATTTGTATTTGAAAAGCAGAGTTACAGAGATACTCCATCCACTATAAAAAGTGCAAGGAATTTGGTGTTTGTGATTTGGGTAGTGGTGATTTGTGATTTGGCCCAGCACAGTGGCCTAGCAGCTGAAATCCTTGCCTTGAACGTGCTTGGATCCCATATGGATGCCGGTTCCAATCCTGGCTGCTCCACTTTCCATCCAGCTCCCTGCTTGTGGCTTAGGAAAGCAGTCAAGGATGGCCCAAAGCCGTGGGACCCTGCACCCGTGTGGGAGGCCTGGAGGAAGTGTCTGGCTTCTGGTTTTGGATCGGCGCAGCACCAGCCTTTGCAGTCACTTGCGGAGTGAATCATCGGATAGAAGATCTTCACTGTCTCTCCTCCTCTCTGTATATCTGACTTTGCAATAACAATAAATAAATACTTTTTTAAAAAGTTCCAGAACAGTGTCAAGATTATGTCATCTTCAGTCCTGACATTAAAGAGGATCCATTACATTTCTGTGTGTGTGCTAAGAAGAAGCTAGAAATTTGTCCCATCAAAGTTACTTAAATGTATCCTCTGTGATCTTAGCGTGATAATTTTATAATGACAGTTAAACAGTGTTCCTTATACCAAAGGAAATCGGGGTTGTTTCACAAAAGCATTGTGCTGAGGTGGAATTGTGTTTCTGTAATCTCCTGTCAAACACCCCGTCATAGGTGATTGTCAGTGGTGCAGACTGTTAACCTGCTTTTGGATGTTCAGAGACATTGCATTCAGAGACATGACCAGAAACATGCTGAATCATCTGTTGCGAAATTGAGTTACTACCAAACTTGGATTGGTATGTCAGAAATCAGGTATCTTGGAACAGATATTAACACTGTGAACACAAGGAGTTAACATGAGTAGTGAGAGCGAGATGTCCCCTGGGGACTGCTTTCTGGGCTTTTCTTCAAGAGCTGAGGGAGTTTCACATTTCCAGAGTCACAGGGAGCACCTGTGGCCTCTCATTTCTGGGATGCTGCGGCTCCCATTCTGTTGTTACTCTTGGTCACGCTAAAATCTCTATCAGGACTACCATCGGCGCTGTCGCTAGAGGGAGTCGTCTAGACACAGAAGCTTGCTCTTCCTCACATCATGCAGGTCTGATTCCACAAGCATCCTGGGGGAACTGTGAAAAGAAAAAGGTGAGATTGATGGTTGGAAGACCGCAAGAAAGATTGGCCAGAGATGCCTTTGTGGCCCATGTAGCCATCTGTGGAAAAAAGAGTCAAGACTCATTTTTCTGAACAGTTGTCCCTGTTCCTCTTTCACTTCTTAGCCAAAGTCATTCAAGCCTTGCACACTTCTCTGTCTTCTGCAGAAACAGTTGCCTGGCTTGTCTTTCAGCCCCTTTGTTATACCACAGGGCAGAAGGCTGGCCAGGCTCGAGTGTGAAACCACAGCAGGACTGGGAGATACTCTAGAGACGGCAAGCCAATAGAACCTCACTCTTCGTTGGTCCACCGTGAAAGACGACTGGATGTTTTCCAACCAGCTCTTGGGGAAGGCCACTGAAACAGAAGGTACCAGCCAAATCCTCTCCTCCTTGGCCATGGACCTGCCCCTCTCCCTCTGCAGAACTGCACTAAGCCAAGGGGTGGAAATCCTTATCTGCTCCACTGGAGTCCAGGACCCAGCAGTCCTTTTTCTAGCTAGATCCTCCAGCTCCCAGAAGGAAGGGATGAGGTGTGCCTTTTTTTCCCCTTTGCCCATTACACAAAAGAAGGAAGGGTCCAGATGTGGCAGATAAGCAAACTAGCACTTTACAAATTCATTTCCAGTCATAGTCAAACTGGACATTTTCTTTCTGAAACTGCTGGCCTGGGTTTGAAGGGATACCCACAGTACATGCTGGGAGGATCCAGCACCTGAGGTTGCACCAGTGTGTGGCTAGGCAGGGAAGAGGTCTGAGCCAGGAGTGCTTCAGGGTCAGTTAGCTCTGGGACCCCTGGGGAGCAGTGGCTGCAGTTTTCCACATTGGCCAGCAGAGGTCAGGTTCTGCCTAGCCCTCCCCAGGCTGCTGTTGTCCCTAGGTGAGAGAAGCGGCCATTAGTAGGCTCAAGACCTACTCCACCAACCCAGATCAAGGTTCAGTGGGGATTGCAAGTGAGGAATAATTCCTTAGGCAGCTGCAGGCTTAACAGCCTGAGGCCTGGAGTGCTTTCCTGCCAGATCATAGGTGGGTGAAAGAATAGTAGCCCTCTAACTTAGCTTAAGGTGCATGGTCCCTACCTGAGAACTAGAGATGTTTCTACCTTCTTTGTTCAGTGAGGCTGACCAGCTGAGAAGGAATCGGAAGCCCTTGTCCTGGGCCTCAATTTACCCCTGTGGAAGATGACGGCATCAAGAGCATTGAAAGGGGGAGACCACTGCTGCCCCAGGCCTTAACCTACCTAAGCTGGGCCAAGGCCCGACTCCTGTAGGGAGCCAGGGTCCAGTGGCCATTGTGGTCTCTGTCTTTGTGCTCAGTTCAAGCCATTCATCTCTTCCTCCTCAGAAAAACGGCTCCCCTCCCTGACACAAAGCTGGCCTCACCACTGAAATCCATGGAGGGCTGGAGTTTGCCTCCTAACCACAGAAGACTAACCTTGCACCAGGGGGAACTAGTTCCAGGGTCAGATTTACAAGGTACAAACAAGGGCACATGAAGCGTGCTAGGGACTGGGTGAGGCCTGCCTTCTGAGACTGAGCCAGCTTCCAGCACAATGGTAGTTTCTGGGCTAGCCCCTCTGGGGCTATGTGTTGTCTGGACGTGCTGAGGACAGGGTGTGTACGTGTCCAGGACATGCTGGGAACTGCCTCCACTGTAGCCCTGTGGGATTCTTTTCTTGGTAATTTTCCTGCCTTTTGTTCTGGAAGGAAATCTTAGGCATGATTTGCAGGCAGCCCCTCCTACGTGGCTCCAGCTGAGACTGGAGGTCAGAGGTGGGGGGCGGGGTGGGGAAGGAGGAGCAGAGTACAAGGAAGGACATCATGTTCCCAACTTGGAGATAGGGGTCCACAAGCACTGGGAACTCTGAGCAGACTCTAGGCCTGAGAGGGTAGGGTGAAGAGAGTAGCCAGTTGGTTTAGAGACTGTGTCAATAGATGCCTAATCCCAGGACCACCCTACCCGTCCCCTCCCCCAGGCCTAGTTACTGGCCATAACAGAAAGGTCCTAGATTGCAGCCAGTGCTACACACACTGACAACAAAACACGCATCCCTCCACATGGGAACCCCCTCCCTCCCAAGGCAGGTATCTACTCAGCACCCCCATTCCCCCATGCCCTAGCATCATCTCTGCCAGGTGTCTCCTTGGCATCTCTGTCCCTCCACTCTCTGCCATCATTGCCAGTCCCCTCACAGTGCCTCTTCCCTTGCCCCAAGCTCTGCATCATTCTCCAGTGTCCCCTGGCCCCTGTTTTTAGGAAGAAAGCAAATCAATGGGTCAGAAACCAAGGGCCCTTGAGAAGGCCTTTGAGTCTCCTCATCCCTCATTGGGGTGCCTGGGATGGAGTCCCCACTTAGCTCCTCCAGTTTTACAGATTCCTGCTAAAGTGAGTGGGACTCCACTCTGGGCCCACTTCCCTTTTCTACCCCTCTAGGGAAATTCATCAAGGACAGTATGACTTTTGGTGTTAACACCCTGCTGGCCAGTTGGGACAAGGGAGACATCCTTGAGCACCCCACCAGGCTGTACAAAAACCATCCCAGGTAAGTTCTTTCACATCAGGACAACCTACCACTCTTCCCATCCTAGAAAACTCCTGTGCCTCCCTTATCCTGGCTCTCCCAACAGGTCACCCATCAGGTCTTTAAAATTCTTCTGACATGGGAATCTGGGTTCAATTCCCAGCTGTGGCTCTTGACTCCAGCTTCCTGCTGAAGCAGACCCTGGGAGACAACAGGAAATAGGTTCAAGGAAATAAGATCCTGCCACATAGATGGGAGTCCTGGATGCGATTTCCAGCTCC